CAGCAGGTTCCTGCGTTGACCGGATCCTCTACTCTAACTTCTGTGCCCACTCCTTGAACGGTGTCCCTCACGAAATCCCCCCATTCTCGATCCACGCTGGGCACCACTTGTCCCAACCCGCGGGTTAGTCAATGAGGACCCTAGACGGGGAGTGGGGACGAGAAGGGACAGGAGACACAAAGAATGGAGTCAAGACAGGATTCTGATCAAGTTTCGTTTATTCAGGGGAGGTGCTGGGTATATATAGGGGGTGTAGGAATGAGGAAGTCTGAGCTCTAGGGGCTCAACAGGTATCTAGGTAATGGGGGGGAAGGTGTGACCTCTGGGGCATAGCATGTGATTTATGGGGAATGGGCAAGGTGAGAAAGACCATAAACTTAACTCAGCAGGGGAAGAGAAACTTATGAAAATGGCTGACACTATTATAAAATGGATACCAGTTAATGGCTAGAGGCCACTTCTGCCCCAGTCTCCTACCTGTTAAAGGTCCTTTGTTATCCAGTTAGTATTGGCTGGTTCCTCCTCATTACACACCAGAAGTTTGCAATGAATGTGTGAAATGAAAAGTGAAATACATCACAACTTGTACATTGATATTTGACTCATTATTTTTACTGCACACATATCACAGCATATAAATTTCACAGGAACTGACTAATTCAGAATGAAGGCTCTCAGGAGGACAAAGCTGACATTTGTACTGCATCTATTCATTGTTCTCAGGTGAAATGTGGATCATCCTACTTTTTTTTATAATCACAATGAACTCATAGTGTGGACTGAGGGTGCAATTGGACCTCCCAGAACGTGAGTCCCAGACATTGTCTCCCTAATCAGGAGCTGTGAAGCTGCAGAAGGATGAAGGCCTCAGGCTCCATCTGAGCTGAACTTTGATGTTGGAAAAGAGACCTGGATGACCCACAATGTCCCTCTTTTCCTCTACTCTGCGTTCCTCTCACCCCTCTGGGGCTATCAAGAGTTGCAGCAACTCAGCTTTGATCACTAACTCCTGAGCCCCACCCTGCCTGGGGTGATGCTAGAAGACAAGGAGCCCTTCAAGGCTGTGGGTGCATGAGGCAGAGCTCTGGGGCATCTCCCATGGCCTGAACCTCTCTCCTGGTCTAGATGGAATTATTCAATGAAGCAGATCATGACACCACTCCACAGTCTAATGAAATGAAAATGAGTTGACAAAAATATATCAGGGAAATCCAGAAAGAGGAAGAAGAAGGCGAGATTCTCCTAGTGGTTCTTTCCAGGCACTGGCAGGTACAGTGTTCTGTACTAGCACATTCCACAGCAGGAGCAGAAATGCCCAATGACATCAATTCCTAACTGGATCTATATAAATCCACTTCTGCCATCATAATCCCTCCAATAGTAATGGGAGCAAACCAGTAAATTAAGGGGATGTAAAAACCGACCTCAACTACAAGTACCTTAGGTCTTTAGAAAAGGCGTCATTGGCCAGGAGAGCCTCCCAGCTGACCGGGATGGTGATGACGGCTGAGCTCTTCAAGGTCCGAAACAGGAGGCCCATGGGTCTGCCAGGGAAAGCTGAAGAGTCTACGCCGGATGTCAGGAGATGACGTTCAAGGAGCCTTTTGTGGCAGATGAGTATATTGAACGTCTTGTATGGAGAACCCCAGGAAGAGGTTCTAGAGGTGGACCTGAAGCTTTTGACCCTAAAAGATTATCAGAAGAATTTATAAATCATATTCAAGAACTCCAGTTAATGGATGAAAGGATTCAGAGGAAAGTAGAGAAGTTAGAGCAACAATGTCAGAAGGAAGCCAAGGAATTTGCCAAGAAGGTACAGGAGCTTCAGAAAAGCAATCAGGGTGCCTTTCAACATTTCCAAGAACTAGATGAGCACATTAACTACATAGCAACCAAAGTCTGTCACCTTGGAGACCAGTTGGAAGGAGTAAACACACCAAGACAGCGGGCAGTGGAAGCTCAGAAATTGATGAAAAACTTTAATGAATTTCTAGATGGAGTATTGAAATCTGATGTTTTTACAAATTCTGAAAAGATAAAGGAGGCAACAGACATCATTCAGAAGTTGCACCTAATTGCCCAGGAATTACCTTTTGATAGATTTTCAGAAGTAAACTCCAAGATTGCAAGTAAATACCATGATTTAGAATGCCAGCTGATTCAGGAGTGTACTAGTGCTCAAAGAAGAGGTGAAATCTCCACAATGAGGGAAGTAGCAGCAGTACTTCTTCACTTTAATGGTTATTCTCATTGTGTTGATGTTTATATAGAGCAGTGCCAGGAGGGGGCTTATTTGAGAAATGATATATTTGAAGTTGCAGCAATACTCTGTCAACGTGTGAACAAGCAAGCTGGAGATATCTTGAGTAATCCAGAAACAGTACTGGCTAAACTTATTCAAAATGTATTTGAAATCAAACTACAGAGTTTTGTGAAGGATCAGTTGGAAGAATGTAGGAAATCAGATGCAGAACAGTATCTCAAAAATCTTTATGATTTATATACAAGAACCACCAATCTTTCCAGCGAGTTGATGGAGTTTAATTTAGGTACTGAGAAACAGACTTTCTTGTCTAAGCTTATCAAATCCATTTTCATTTCCTCTTTGGAGAACTATATTGAGGTGGAGACTGGTTATTTGAAAAGCAGAAGTGCTATGATCCTGCAACACTATTATGATTTAAAAAATCATCAAAAGAGATCCATTGGCACAGGAGGTATTCAAGATTTGAAAGAAAGAATTAGACAGCTTACCAACTTACCACTGGGGCCAAGTATTGACACTCATGGGGAAACTTTCCTATCCCAAGAAGTGGTGGTTAATCTTTTACAAGAAACCAAACAAGCTTGTGAAAGATGTCATAGGCTCTCTGATCCTTCTGATTCACCAAGGAATGCCTTTAGAATTTTTACCATTCTTGTGGAATTTTTATGTATTGAACATATTGAGTATGCTTTGGAAATAAGACTTGCTAGAATTCTTTCCTCAGATTCTAGGAATGCAAATCTCTATTTTTTGGATGCTGTGCAACAGGCCAATACTATTTTTCATCTTTTTGACAAGCAGTTTAATGATCACCTTATGCCACTAATAAGCTCTTCTCCTAAGTTATCTGAATGCCTTCAGAAGAAGAAAGAAATAATTGAACAAATGGATACTGGCATTGATAGGACATTAAATTGTATGATTGGACAGATGAAGCATATCTTGGCTTCAGAACAAAAGAAAACAGATTTTAAACCAGAATATGAAAACAATGTTTTAATTCAGTATACTAATGCCTGTGTAAAAGTCTGCGCTTATGTAAGAAAGCAAGTGGAGAAGATCAAAAATTCCACGGACGGAAAAAATGTGGATACAGTTTTGATGGAACTTGCAGTACATTTTCATCAACTTATTTATGAGCATCTTCAACAATATTCTTACAGTTGTATGGGTGGCATGTTAGCAATTTGTGATGTGGCTGAATATAGGAAGTGTGCCAAAGACTTCAAGCTTCCAGTGGTATTACATCTTTTTTATACTCTACATGCACTTTGCAACCTTCTTGTAGTTGCCCCGGATAATTTAAAGCAGGTCTGCTCAGGAGAACAACTTGCTAATTGGGACAAGAACACACTTCACTCCTTTGTACAGCTCCGTGCTGACTAAAGATCTGCCCGCCTTGCTTGGCACTTCAGCTGAGGTTAAAGTGACAAAGGAAATGAGTTTCAGCAGGTCTTGGCTGACAGGAAGTACAGCAGATCCCTTAGACACAGCCGACACTTTATGGAAAAACGACTGAAGAAAACAGCAGCCATACTTACCTTGAGGTTTTATTTGAAATTTGGACACTACTAACTGTGTTTACTTTTTTTCCGCTAAGCTGAATTATAATTCCCTTCTTGAATTTATACATTTCAAATTCTGTAAAACTACATGTCACTGTTTTTCATTTTGGAAAATGTTGGTGTCAAAAGGCAAATGAAATTTTACCAGTGTATCGTTCTAGTTCTTTAACATAATTCCATCTGGAAGTTAAACATTATCCTTTTTCAAGGATAATATTTTTCATTATCTATCCCATTTTGCATTCATACTAAGTAAATTACAAAAAAAGTTATTATTCATCAGTTTTTAATGACCTTTTCAGTACTAGTAATTCTTAATCAGATTATTGTAGATTTTCCTAAAGAATTTGTTGACTCAGAGGTGAACAAGTATAATTTCTGTAGCTTTGTTGATTACAGTTTTTTCCAGGATACAATTCCAAGAAAATATTATAAACTAAAATAATGAAATAGTTTATGCAGACATTATCAGAATACATTTGCTTTCTCAGTAAATTTAAAGTTTACTATTTTTTATTGGATAAGTAAATTTTAAGCCAATTCTAGTAAATTTATAAAACTACTTTATTTTATATTTCATTTAACATAGAAGGCTTTAACTAAAGGATCGTATTTATTCATTACTTTAATATTATAAGGGAGAGTAAAGAAATGAGGGGTAGTCTAAGTGGTGCATATGAGAAATAAATGTTTAGGAACAATGCAGTTCTTTAAGATTTTTAACTTACTAATAAACTTGAATAAGATGTGATCTCTAAACCTACCGGTAATCTACTTTAAGAAGAATTGAAAATTGATCAGTGACATTATACATTCTAAGTTTGGGCATAAGTTTTACAAAGGCTGGTTACTTTTCAGATCTGTAGTTGTTTTCATTATCGTTTTTCAAGTCATTTCTAAAGTTCTTCCTACTTGGCTATGGTTAATTGAATTGGCTTAATATGGTGGCATAATAAATTACTTAAAAATTTTAAACATGAAAAAGTTTTGAAATAGTCATTACTTTACAAACCTTTTAAATTTGCTCTGCAAGAACACATTCTAAATTAAATGTAGTGTTCCAGCTTCTGTTGTGTTGCTTACAGTCTTCTAGGAACCAGACAAACTTTAATGTTCACTTCATTCTTGGCAATTTTTCTTAAATGTAAGGCTTTACAGTCAAATTTGGGAAAACTGCCTTTCTTCTCAGAATCCAATTCTAAGTGGTTATCAATTTTTCCAAACCATCCTGGCCCAGAGCTACCTACTGTTTAAATTACCACTGACTGATTTTTTTTTCATTTTCTGTTTAGCCCAGTGTTATCAAAGTATGCAAAACAAATGAAATATGCCAACTTTTGTCAAAGCATTTTTGTATGTTGTGGCAGCTTTAGAAGGCTTTCCAGACTTCTTTTCTTATCCAAGGGAGAGCCAGCATAGGTTTTGGATACAAGAAAAAGTCATATCCTTGTACTGTCGTCATTTTAGAAAGCTCTTGTGTGAATTCAAATTATACCTCTGTTACTTAAAACCAACTTAAAGGCAATAGTTTTACTGGTCATTTGAATTCTTTGTACAGTGTCAATTTGTAAAAAAGCAAAAACAAAAAACTCAAATAAAACATGAGATAGCACTTAAAACCTCCAGATCAGAAAAAAAAAATTTTTTTAAAGGCATTATTTATCATACACCATCCTGAGATGCAGCATGTGCTATTTATTGTTGCATGTAGGGTAGAAATTGAGGCAGATTGGAATTTATCACCTGCATAATGGTTCAGGTAGGAAATGAATTAAAGTTCATCAACACTGTGAGCCGGGTTTCAAGCATTCCACTCCACATTTGCAGGGTAAAAGCACCCAAATGCGAAGGGCATGGCTATGAGCAGTCAAAGTTTACACACACATCCGCAGCCACAGTGCTCTCTAGATAAGAAATTGGGCTCAAGTCAGGAAACAGGAGTTGACACTGGCACTGGGGCAGGGGACCTCAAACTCCGCTCATTATTTCTGAGGGTTAGACTCAACAAGACCTATGCTGGCTGCTCATCCATTAGATCCAAGGCTGCAGAGCCATCCCCTCTGCCTTCCGTAGTTGAGATCTCAGGACAGTAACTTGGAATTGTTCTTAATAAATATACTCACTTTGATTATGATAATTATGTACATTTGCATGGCCTGTTATTTCAGACTGCTGCTTTCCATATTCCTATCAAGGGTCCATTTCCACGACAGCCTTCTGCAGTCTGCGCTGGGCCCCAGAGCCACTTAGGGACATAGGTGTCCTCCCACCAACCTCCAATGTGAAATCATGGCTGCCAGAAACCTACATGATCATAAAAGTGTCTCTGCTTCTTTCTTCTTGAGAAGTATGAGATACAGACAGTGTCTGTTTTGTGGCAGATTACTTAGATGGCTAAAAACTACTAGATGCTGGACATTTCTCCTAGTATAAACATGACTTTTATTATGGTTTACTTTTCCTTGTTTGATTTTATGTGTGCAACTCAGTGAGTATTGCTACGTCAAGTAGTAACTGTAGAATTCAATTATCATGCTTAGGAGAGCTGTGCAAGTTTTGCTGAGCAGCCAATGGCCCAAGGCCATGGACATGGTGTATCACAGAAGGGGAAGGGGCAAGTGTAGGTGTGCACTGCTGGCCATTCAGCATGAATGCAGATGGTCTCTCAGCCCTCAGTTTCCAGATCGATGGTATACATCGTACTCCTGCAAAATTCCATTCTGTTTTAGAAGTTACCATGACTGGTGCAATTACTGAAAAGCAGGCTTCAACTTTACTGGATGTGTTGAAATCTAGTCTACCTTCCTGGATCCATTCAAACTTTGTAGGGTTCAATTAAATGTATGTAAAATCCAGCCACAACCCATGAGCCCTACTATGCCATTTCTCCCACCTCCTGATGAAGTATGAAACTTATTAAGTGCCATGCCCAGAGTGTAGATGGGAAGACACCTAATCTGTCATGTGCATCACTGACTGCACAGGACTCTGCAGTGAGCTCCAGATCTCAGGCCTTTGCACCAGAACTCTGCAGCTTGCTGACAGCCCTTGTGCATTCTTCTGGGTGACCACTCTGTGCCTACCTTACAAATCCCTCTATATTATATATAGTGGTGGGGGCAGGAATTGAACTCATGACCTTGCACTTGCCAGGCCAGTGCTGTGATGCTCAGCTATATCCCTGGCCCTACTATTACATGATATGTCTATTTGATTCTCTAGTGACCCTAACTGACACAAATTGTCAACAGATTTCACTGACCTATCATTATGTTTTTGCAAAAATGATTTTTTTTTAAAAAAAGGAGGCCCTAGAATGTATAATATTTTTTCCTGAAAAAGCATAGTGCATGGGTATAGGAGCAGGACCTTCCCTGACTCACTGCACCCCAGCTTGACACCTCCCTGTGCTGCCCTGAGAAGGACTGGGAAGGTGCAGCTGATGGAGGATGAAACCTGTCTCCCTGTCCCATCCTTTTTAATGACTAGAGCTTGAGGGTGACTTAAATAAAGAGCCTGACCTTAGGCCCCTCTACCAGCAGGGGTCAGCAGAGCTAAAGCTAGGAGAGAAGTTGGCTACACAGGTTCTGCCAAAGGAGTGGACATGCATTAAGGGTCAGTCCTTGGATTAGAATACCAAAACACCATATGTCCTATGCCTCAGGCTTCAGTTACCATATTCTGGGAGACAGATTTTCGCAGTAACACCAGGACACTAACAGGAGCCCAGGTACCATGGGGCCCTAATCTCAGCGATAAGCACAGGAAGCTTCTGACAGACTGAATTCCCTGGAGGGACCGCCCCAAGGTCCAGGAGCTATAGGACAGGCTGAGTGTGAGAGAATAGGATGGGGCTCCTTGGCCCTGTGTTTTTCATCCAGGATGGCTGCTTGGGCTTCCTGCCCACTCTCAAGGTACTGCCTCCTTGCCCTCCGGTGGTCCCAGGGTTGGCTCGCTACTCCAGAGACACCTACCCCTCCCAGCCTCTGCTCCCAGGTCCAGGCAGATGCACCATCTGGCTACAACTTGTTTGTATAAGTGCATTCTTAGGTTGGAAGGGAGCCCTCAGGGACTCAGCCTGGAGGACACATCTCCAGCCTCTTGGAGAAGAACAGCCAGAACAATATGCACTCCCTGACACAGGTCACAGCTCTGACCATGGAACTGTCCTGGTCAGTGGAAGGAGACGCATCCTTGGAGTCCTCACCATCATTCACCACCCACAATTCCATCTTTCGAAAAGACCCTGATTCTGAGAAACTCTACAGACTGCGTGGGGCCTACAGATGGACTCTCCAGGGTCTCTCAGATCTGACTGTGAGCACTTCCTTCAAGACCACACGAAACATTGATGGGAGAAAATGAATAAATAAATGGCTTGTCAATTGCTAGTATATTGGGTAATGAGGGATGGCAAGTAGCATATGTACAAAGAAACTAGAAATATGTTGAGTCAATAAAAGCAAAGAGTTGGTAAAACAACCAAGATCTAATTTGTGATATAATTAGCAAGTATATTGCAACAAGCAGGAGAAAAAAAAAGAAAGAAACACTTTGGACCTGCTAAATATATACTTTCCAACTGTATTAGGAGAGACACAATACTCAGCACCTATGACTTAAAAAGAGGAGAGGCTCCGCACTTTCAGGCGAATCTGTCCACAGTCAGCTGGCTCCAGTGCAGAAAAATGATGACAGAGGGCATGGCAAGGAAAGATGCTGAGTCATGATGCCCAGAAGCAAAGGACGGAGCAGTGTCAGAGAGGCAGGGCAGGAGTCCACACAAGTACCCAAGGGCACACCTCCATGACCCACTTGTTA